CTTCTCAATAAGAATTATGTTTCCACACTTTTTGTTCCTGTTGTCTTTCCTCAAAGCATTTTAGCATTAATTTCCATTCTTCATCAAAGGGGGGGGAATGATCATTAACTCTCTCAATCATCATCCTAACTCCACCTGATCCTGTTACCTGAATTCCCATAGCCTGTTCCATTGGGGTACTTTTAGTTAGCACTGTTTCTATTAATTTTTGCACTAGTCCTTGGATACAAGGGATGATACAACACCCTACTGCAGTTAAAACTCCTGCAGCTACGATCAGAGAGGTGATGATGGATGCTGCTATTCCCTTCCATTTGCCAGATCAGGATTCTAACCACCCCTTTAATCAGTTATCTATCCCAGAGTTCTCTACCAACTCCTCATCTAAACTGGTTAAACCTTGCAATGCCTTAGTGATGCTTCTATCTGGGGCTGTGCTATTGGGCAACATTTCATCAAGGGATTTTGGGGACTTAAAACAATATGGGAGAAGGAAAGGAAGAGTTGACCGACGCATTGACAAAGTAAAAAGGGGACAGTCCCCTTGTTAAGTACAGATACAGACGAAAAAGTGATAAATCGTCCATTTAAAGCTTCAGAAGTCTCTTCTCATACAGCTGTCTGACATTCTGGACATCATCTGATAAAGTCCTCTGGTCCAAGTGCTGTTCAAACAGTGTCCAGCAGACTGTCCTCCTGCAGAGATCCCCCTTCTTGTGTCCACCTTCCTAAAAGATTGATCTCAACACAATTTTCAATTACCTTGCCAATAACCAGGGCAAATAATGAAAATTAACTCAACCCCTACATCTTCACCATTACGAGATCAAAATTGGAACTTTGTCCAATTGTCATGTTTCAAGAAACTCAAATTTTAAAAAATGAGAACCTAGCCTTACGCTCTCAATTACTTCTAGTTTTATACCTTGCATTAGTTCATTATTCATTCCTATTCATCTTCCCCATCAGGAGGATGAGATGCCACTAAGAAATTACTAACACACTCCAATACGTAGTAAATTTAAAACCAGTACATATCAAATAACAAAACAGTCCCAACTTCTAGTCATGTACAAATAAGTAATCCTTAATTAAAATGGGTGCTTCTTTCAAGGCATTTACAAGATAAGCCATAAGCTATTCCTCTTTTGACATTAATTGTAACAAACTGAGACAACTTTAACATTAACTAACAGAACAATATCCTACTTCCACAATCTCCTGGTCTAATTATCCCCTAATGATGGGGTATGGGTCCAAGCTGAGACCCTTGCCCCTTGCCCCAGAAAGAATCTGGCTCCCATCCTTCCATGGGCTCCAACTCCTCATCTTCCTTTGAAAGCCCTAGCCCCACCTTTCGATCTTAATCAGATGCCTTTCAAACTTCTCCCTTCCTGGGGCAGCTAGGTGGCACAGTGGATAGAGCACCGGCCCTGAAGTCAGGAGGACCTGAGTTCCAATATGGCCTCAGACCAAACACTTGACACTTAGTAGCTGTGTGACTCTGGGCAAGTCACTTAACCCCAATTGCCTTAAAAAAAAAAACCCATAAACTTCTTCCTTCCAGTTCCCTTCATTATCTATTCCCTTTGTCTATTCAGTCTCTCAGACATTCCAATCCGAATTCTCTCCTAGACTCTTTTCCCAGCCCCTCCTCTGCTCACTCAAAGTTACTTTAGTGTAAGATCCACCCTGGCCCCCATTTAAACGCTGAGGCTTTCTCATGCCTGCTTGTCCTTATAAAGAATCCTGACTTATACAGGAATATACTAGTAATAGATGTCAAGACTGAATACTTAATTCTGAAATTCTAGGCCAAATAACTCAATCTTATACTTGCGTCTTACTATAATAACCTCAGATGTTTCCACATCGATCTATTGTTTAATAGATTCAATATTTATGCTTACAAATCTTATGATTATAGGAATTTGCCATGAGAGAACATAACTAAAGTAAGAGAACAATGCTTCCCTAGATTCATGTCAACTCCAGGCAGAAGTTATATAATGACCAACTACATCGAGCCAGGTTTAAAGTCTGCCAGATGTCATAGTGGAGAAATTGAGCCAGGAGAATCCTACCTCAGCCATGCAGAAAAGTCCTTCTCCTGACCTTCCCATGAGAACACCCTGTTTCAGCTCATAAACCTCTTTGCAGGTTGCTGACGTCATGAGTCAGCAGCTCAATCAGTTCCTTGTTAATCATACCTGGAGTTAGACTCAGAATAACAGTTCATTAACAGTTTCCAAGGTCTTAGATAGCATCAGTTTCACATTATTTACTATTTCACTATAGTTTCACATTAATTACGGAACAGCTCCAGAGGGAGCTCTAAGTAGTTTGCATAACAAATTTCCATTAAGAAGTTGCTACTCTAAATAGATTTGCCTTTCTGTTTCTCAAGCTTATTTATCCCTCTCTAACCATCCTTAATCTGAAAGAATGAGACACTTCCAGGGCTCGAATCTTATACATATACGTTCAAACAGTAATTTTAACTCTCGCTAGGCCACGGAATGAATTCAGATCAAAATAGTAAGATCTTTCCTTCTTACAACTTATTACAGAAATTTAGATGCCTTTAGTATTAATCACTAGCCTTAGATCTCTGATGCTGCTTCCATTGAGACTATTTCTCTAAGAGCACCCTGTTAAGTCCAATCCAAGGACACAACAAACCCAGGAATGAAACTCTTAAAAGTTCATAGTAGGTTTGTACATAATTTTATTACAAATAGAAATTTAACAGGCCCTCTAAAAGAACATCAAAGATTTCATCAAAATATTTTCTTCATAAAAATTATCTCCTTTTCTTAAAAACAGCTTACAATTTCCTAATTACCATTGTTGATCTGAATGTTAGTTAAAGAGACTACAAGCTAGTGATAACTGACAGTCAGGGAGTGCAAAGTCTGTTAGTGGGGAACAAAGTTTTATAATCCTAAGGCAATACCCCCTCCCCATTCCTGAACCCTTCTTCCCATTGGCTGGGTTTCAGGATGCACCATCTAAACGTGGTTTTCTAAGACCCTTAGTACAATAATATCCTTGTTTGGAAATATTTGCCTAGAGACAAAGGATGGGGAAGACTTTTGATAACCATTTAGAAGTTCTGCCCAGAGACAAAGGCTCAGGAAGACTTTCTATAAGAGGTTGAGAAGTCCCGCCTAGAGACAGATAAGCAGTCTTTTTTTTTTTACCTTGCTAGAGGAATCAGAACACAGGTTAGCTCTTGCTTAATGCACAGCAGATGAAAGAAAGATTGTTTCTTACCTTTGCCCAATATATTAGCTCTAGTGGTCTGCGGGCGACTTCCCAAATCCCCTGGACTTCTCACACATGGTCCGAGATCTCCAGTTCGGTTGGGAAAGGTTCAACTCACCAAAACCACTGAAATACAGCAAGAGCACTGTTCCCGGGATGTCTTACCTTGTCCCCTCCAAAGTCTATGAGATTACAGAGCCCCACATTAGGCACCAAATTGTTAGAAATACGCTTGACGCCTAAATTTTAGTATCAAGAAAGTTTATTACAGAGAGAGAAAGTCCATAGGATTTAGACATTTCTGGCCAGAAGCTCCCTCCACCCCTCTTCAGGAGGGATAGGCCCTGAGTACAAGGGCAAGTGTGCTTTTATGCAGTTAAATTCGGTACAAAACCTCCCAGGCCTGGATTGGTCCGATCCTTCCAAGTTACATTTGTTCTGGAATGCCCCTGTTCCTGCCCTATTGTGTGGACAATTGTGCTATTACCTCCCCCCCCCCCCCCGGGCAGAGAAGTTACTAGGCCTGAGGTTCACTAAGTATGCCCTTCTCTTGGTTTTGGGGTCTTCTTGGAACCATCAGCTTTGGGCTAAGCCCAGGCCCACCTGCAGTGTACCTGCTTCCTTGACTTGTTTTTATAACTCTCTGCTCTATTCTACCTGTGGAAATTTAAGCCCTCTAACTCTAACAATCTCATGAAGACATTTGAAAGTCATAGAATTTAAAGGTGGAGGAGATCTTAGAAGTCCTCTGATCTCCCACCTTATAGAAGAGAATACAGAGGCAGAAAAAGGAAGTGACTTAGTTTTGATTCCAAAACAAGTGATCTTTCCATTGCCCCGGGGCGGGGGGAGTTCATTTTTAGACATGTTGAACAGAAAAGGCTTTGTGGTAGAGTTATCACCTGAGCTGGGCCTTGAAGGAAGTCCTGGATTGCACCATTGGAAAGTGGCTAATTTGCTAAGTGAACGACGTTTGATGGGTGACTTCCCGAGTCTGAGTTTCGGTTTCTTGCTTAGAGGTGGAGGGCATTGCATTGCTGAGAAAAAGACTAGACATATTGGGCTACATGAATGTAAGACTACATTACTGTGCCATAAAACATAAAGAAGATGAAGGCTTAAAGAAACAAAGGGAGATATGTGATCGATGTGGAATGAATTAAGTAAAACTAGGAAAAAATAGAATGATTACAGCCATGTAAAACCTAAGGTAGGAAAGGAACCTGGAAGCCTTGTAATTATAATGCTGATGTTTGGCCCAGGGGACAAGAAAGATGTACCTCCCTCCTTTCGTCTAGGTCAGGAGCCGAGGAAGTATCGCTTTTCTAGAAATAGTGATTGTTTTTAATCTGCGTGAGCAGCGACGCTTTCCTGGTTATGGCGGAGAGGGAGAAAGGCGGGTTCAGAAAATAATTGTGACAAAAGAAAAAGTGTCATTGGAACCCATTGGGCAGAAGGAGAACTGGACCAGACGAACCCTAATCCCCCCAGCCCTAGGTCAGTGGTCCTGGGTCCAGCCCTGAGGCTGCCTCGCCTCCTGAATCCCCGGGATGCTCAGAGATGCCAACAAGAGCAGCCCCCTGGTCCTCCCCACCCAGGCCCAGAGCCGCAGGGGCGGGGCGGGGGAGGGGGCGGGGCGGGGCGGGGAAGGAGGAGGAGCCCCGGGCTCCTAGGAGGGTGAGCTCACCAGAGCTCCTCACTGTGCCGCAGGAGTCACGTGAAGCGGGCAGCCTATGGCGGCGCGGGGGCGTGCTTGCCGCAGAAGGCGGAGCACCGGCAGGGACCCAGGCAAAGGCTCTGGCTTGGCCTCGGCCCCCAGCTCCGGCTCTGCCACAGGCCCCCTGGCGCTCCCGCTCCCGCTGCCGCTCCCGGTGCCCGTGCCAGCGGCGATGGCGGCGATTCTGGGGCCCAGCGCCCTGGCCCGGCTCCGCTGGGGCTCGGCCTTCTGCTCCATCGCGGCCGGAGGCTTGGGCGCCTTCGCGGCCGCCTTTGCCAAGCTGGCGCTGAAGCCGACGACGTCCCGGGGTCCGGAGGACGAGGAGCAGGAGCTCCCTTACCCGCCCGCCATGCAGGCCTGGGTAAGAGCCGGAGCCGGGCCGGCAGGCAGGCAGGCAGGGCGGGTGGGCGGGCGCCTAGAAGTGCTGGGCTGTGGGGAGCAGGGCCGCCCGCTGTCCAGGGTGCTGCCCGGGAGGGGAGGTGGGAGGGACCCCCTGCAGAGCAGATGATTTATGACGCAAAGTGTTTGGGGAGAGGGGTCCGCGGCTGAAAAAGAGGCAGGGGCGAACCCCTTTAGAGCTAGGGGCGAACCCTTTTATAGCGCCCAGTTGGAGTGGGATTGTGAGGTGGAGAAGGGGCTGAATCGGACCTCTTGGTAGGAGCGGTAGGAGCGGACCCAGGGTCCGCAGGGCGAACCCTTTTGTATCACTCCTTCAGAGTGGAATTGCTGGGTGGGGAAAGGGCGGGGGCTGAGCCCTGCGCAGTGCATGTCCCCCATTCAAGTAGAACTGCGACTACGTCTGGGGCCCTAGCAGAATTGGATGGGGGTTGGGCGGAAGAACCCACTGCAGATCCAACCCCCACCCCCACCCCCACACTCAGCAGAATTGCTTCAGGGCAAGAAGCGGTGCTGACGCCCCTCTAATGTTTACTTGGAGTAGAACTGACTGCGTAGAAGGGCAGATTTTTCCGTATTTCCCCCTTGGAGTACGGTTGAGAGTGTGAGGCATATCACTCTGAACCCTTTCTAGCAGAAAAACTGGACTTTTGTGTGGGAGAGGTTTGCGGAAGGAAAGGTGACTTTGTCTATGCAAATTACTGCAGAATCTTGTGTCTGAGACAGAATGTTAGCTCCTCCTCCTCCTGGAGGACCTTGCTGCATTCCCTCCCAAGATCAAGGATTCTGCAGTAGAATCGCAGTATTGACCCAGCAATAGCACTTTTAGGGCTATATCCCAAAAAGATCATACAAATGGGATAGGGACCCACATGTATTTATTTATATTTATAGCAGTTCTTTTTGTCGTGGCAAAGAATTGGAAATTGAGAGGATGCCCATCAATTGGAGAATGGCTGAACAAGCTGCGGTATATGAGTGTAATGGAATATTACTGTGCTATAAGAAATGATAAACAAGTTGACTTCAGAAAAACCTGGAAAGACTCGTATGGTCTGATGCCGAGTGAAGTGAGCAGAACTAGGAGAACGTTGTACACAATAACAGCCATGTTGTGCGATGACTAATATTGATAGACTTAACCCTTCTCAGCAACACAAGGATGTAAGACCGTCCAAAGGCCTTGTGATGGAAAATGCCATCTGTGTCCAAAGAAAGAACTATGGAGTTTGAAAATAGATCGAAGCATACAATTTGCCATTTTTTCCTTCTGTTGAGTTTGGTTTCCTCTTTCTGGTGGTTCCTCTTATTGGTTCTAATTCTTACTTACGGCATCACTAATGTGAAAAAAAAAAAAAAAGAATCACAGTATTGCCTGCAGTTCCATGTCCCTTAATCCTTGACTCAGATTTTTTGTATTTGTCATTATTCCCTTGTATCCCTTACCATCTATTGCTCCTCCAGGGATGCAGTCCCTGCCACCAGTAGAATAATAACTATGGATATTTACATAGCCATTTAAGGTTTGCAAAACAACTTACTTATATTATCTCATTTGCAGTTCTAATTTGTGTGATAGTGTTGTGTTTGTGCCATATTCTCCTATGAGGCCTTCAGCTCCCTGACACTGGGCACTAATATCTTGCTTTCCAGTGGTGTATCTTGCCCATCCTGTACTGCTGGGTACCTAAGAGTTCTCTGTAGGTGTAGGTGTCTGAATAGAAGTGCCCATTCTTAGGGCCCTGGGACTTCGAACGAGGGACTTCAGAGACCCTCTTATTTTACATCAATATCTCATTGGTGAAAATGTTCTAAAAACACCTGCCCCTTCAAGTGAACCTTTTGGGCGTCTTTTGTCTTTCGTTCCTCTGCAGTTGACCCTGATGTTCCGGCTGATGGCCTTTTCTTTGATGATTGTCAGCAACTCCCTCATGTGGGCCTTCTTTTCCAAAGCGCTAAGTATTTCTTCATCTTCTGCCACGGCATCGCTGACAATGACTGCTTCTAACATCATTGCCTCGGTAAGTGACCAGAGCCTGTGGAGTGGAACCTGTACAATGCCCATAATTTCCTTGAGCTCCATTTCTTGGTCTGTGAAATATCAAACAAGGAGGTGGCATGGGGTAGTGTACAGAGGACAGGGCCAGTCCTGGAATCAGGAAGTATTTAGACCTGGAAGGAATGGTAAGGGTCATTTAGTCCAGCCTCCTCATTTTATGAAGCAAGGGAGACCTAGAGGTCTCCTCTAGGGAGGGAAGGGAAGGGGCTGGTAGGAGATCACAAATTCAGGTCCTGCCCTTTGTCATAGACTGGCTGTGTGACCAAGGGCAAATCGTTTAACCTCAGTTTCAGCAGCGACTTCCCAAGATTCTATTCTAGATGAAGTGTTATTATGCATCAGGAGAGGAAGTTTCTAGACTGAGACTTTCCCATACCAATGGAATCACAGATTTAGATTAAGAAAAAAATGAAATGACACGTAGTTGTTGAGATCCAATCAGACTTACAAGGTTTTATAACTTCTCTGAGGATTGCTGATTTCTACCCATCAAGGTGGGTATGCTATGTACTGATGCATATCTTAAGTCCTGTCCCATGACTTCCTTGAGAACAGGGACTAACGGTGTTTTGGGGTCCTTTGTTTTGTTTTGCCTTTCTTTGGATCCCAAGTGCTTAGCACCATGGAGCAGGTCTCAATAAATACTTCTTGACTTGGCTTGAACCGCTACAAAAACAACCCCTGGTCTTGTGGCCAGCTACATTTAGGCCTTCCCCACGTGATGATGTATTCCTGTGACTAACATGAGATCAGAGCAGAGGCTCCACAGACCTAGTGAGGCTGGTCCTGGGATGGGAGCTCACGGGGACCTTCCTTTCCAGCCTGGGAGAACCTGCAGAGGTTCTGATGGAGCAATTAGCACGGCTGCCCACAAGGGGGCCTGAAAAATAGAATGACATTGTGGCTAACCCACCTGATTGACTGCACGGTCTAGCAGAGAACACAGCTGCGTCATTGGGAATTCTGCTTCTGAGACTTGGCAGCATGTATGAAAGTGCTAGTACTGACCACGTGTTTGATTCATCGCTCCTTCTCAGTGGGACAGAATGAAACTGAAGGCACAGAGGAAATGAAACTGAGGCAGTTATGGTAGTAACGTGAATCACATATGCAGTAGAAAGGGCCCGGCACCTGGGTTTGAATCTCAGCTCTGCCACTAACTACTTGTGTGACTGTGGGCAAATCACTTAGTTTCTCTTGGACCTCAGTCTCTTCATCTGTAAAATGAAACAATGAGACTGACACCTGAAGTCCCTTTGGGCTCTAGTTCTGTGATCCTGTGTCCCCATTTCCCAGTGCTACCTGGCATCACACTCAATACCTAAGCAAACCTTTGCCAACTCTGGGCTGCATATAAACCAGCATTCATCCTCTATTTCCCAGGGCTCCGCTTGTGATGAGTAGCGAGGGGAGGGTGTACTGTTTGCCCAAAGAGTCTTCTGGGGAGTTAGAACAGCAAAGACCGGGGATGGAAGATGGAGCTTCAGGGCTCTCGCAGTATGAAATCACCTTGGGTTAGCAAAGCCCATTTCCATAGCAGGCCCCAAACTAGCTTACAAGGAATCATCTGCACTGAGACCAGTTTGTCTCGGCTGCCCAAGAAGAGGAACCCAATCAATGTGTTTTCCATTCACATTTTCCCTCCTCTGTGTCTTCTGCCCCTTCAGGCCTTCCTGGGTTACCTGCTGTATGGAGAATACTGTGCAGTGATGTGGTGGGCCGGGGTCGTCCTGATCCTCTATGGACTGGCACTGATGCACATAAGCTCGTCGGCCGACGAGGAGCTGGAGGAAAAGAAGAACCAGTAGGGACAGGCCTCAAGGCAAATGTTCCTCGAGCTGTTGCCGGCCCTTCAGAATCCCAGGCCTGGCCTCAAGAAGGCCACTGAGTTCTGGGGGAGCAGTTTTGTCCTGTTGTTGTTTTTTTTTTTTTTTTAATTCCTATCTAGGGAAGAAACCAATGCTAGACACCATCTGATTGCTTCATGCTTTAAGGACCTCTTCAGGCAGGGTGTGCTCATGTTGCTAGGCCTCTGGCAAGTGGATTTGTGCTTCTGACTCAGTTGGGAAACTCTGCTAGATGTCTAGAAACCCCAGGGAGAAAGAAAGCAGTGTTCTTGCTGGAGCTGATGTTTGGATCGATCTGTTCCTTGGGCCCAGGGGACAGATGCCAGGAAGAGGCTTTGCCTCTGGTGAGTGTTTCTCCTTGGGGTGTCCTAGACAGAATGGAGAAGGCTGACCTTGGGATTGGCCTTAGGCCTGAGTCTTTCTTGTTCTCCGGGTGGAGCTCCAGTAGTAAGTTTATCACAAACCATAAATCTTAATTTAATGAGGATTTGTCAGTTGGTATTGATATGTGCCATTAACAATTACTAAGCACCGAGGCTAGATAAAGCCCAGGAAACCAAACTAGTGAGACAATGCCATTCCCTGCCCTTGAGGGATATGCAGTGTGTTTGAGAGGGGACAAAGAAGAAGGATACTAGTTAGAAAGTGATAAGAGGGCCCCCCCCCACCAAAAAAAGGAGGGAAGGGTTAAAAGCAAAGGAAAAACCTAAGAGCAGGGTCTCTTAACTTTTTGGGGGACATGGGCCCCTTTGGCAGGCTGGTGAAATGGACCCCTTCTCAGAATAAGATTTTTAAAATAATAAAACAAAATACATAGGATTACCAAGAAAATTCAATTGGAATGCAGTTATCAAAAACATACAAATAAACAAATACATGGATGCCCAGTTTAAGAACCCTTAATTTAAGACAATGTGCCATAAGAAATTTGAGAAAGAAGAAGTCCCTTTCAGCAGGGGAAGATCAGGGAAGCCTTCACAGAGGAGGTGGTTACTGAGCTGGGTCATAGAGGGGATTTCAGAAAGAAGAATTGTGGAGGAAATGAGTTGCAGGTAGAGAAAAGAGCCTTGGCAAACGGAAGAGGAGAGTGAGGAGCAGCTTGGTTGTCTAGTTTATGGGGGGTAGACTTCATGGGAGAAGGTAGTATGAAATAAGGCTAGACAGAGAGGTGGAAGCCAGCCTGTAAAGGACCTTTAAATGCCAGAAGCACCTGCTACGAGGTCTCCTAACCCATGAGTATTTATTTATTAAGCTCCTACTATGTGCCAACCACAGTGCTAAGTATTGATGATACCAAGACAAAAAATGAACCATCCCAACTTGTTAGACAAAAATAGATATGACTGTAGACTGTATAAAGTGTTTCAATACAAATCTATACAAAGTAGTTAGGGGTTTGACTCCCTATCACCCCTCCACTTCCAGGGTCAATAGCCTCCAGAGGAGAATCAAAATTGACTCAATTCTTCTGGAGCACTTGCAGTTCTGAGATTGATTTGAATACCCCCAAAGTATACTAGGGAGGTCTACACCGTCTGGCTGCCATCTTCCTCTTCAGCTCCGAAAGAGCAGAGTCACCCCAAGAAGGAAAACAAAAGCAGGGAGATGGTTCAGAGAAGTATGGCATGTGATTGTAATGGCTATTCAAAGAATAATTGAAAAGTTCAGTAAACCTTAGTTCTTTAGAAAAAAACTAGAGTTGATAAACATACAGTTGACAGACCCGTGGAGCCTCCGTAGCTCACTGGTGAGTCCCTGGCCAGGATCCCCATTTCCTGAAGACCCCCAACCACGCTTGTGCTTGCTTCATGCTCAGCTCTCTCTCCCACCTGCCCTACCTGCTTAGCAGCCTCACCACAGCTTGATTCCCCAAATCCCCCCCCCCCCCCCCCTATGTGTTGTATTCCTGCATTAGGATGTAAGCTCCTTGAGAGGAGGAACTGAATTGTTTGCTTGTATTTGTATAGTATAGTGTCTAGCATGTAAGTGCTCAATAAATCTAGTAAGCAAAAAGTTGTCATTGTTTTTTTAAAGCAAGAACTAAAATGTTCATATTGGGAAAAGGAAATTTATAACAAAAGCAAAAAGACATTTAGAGATTATTTCATATGTCTCAATGCTGTATTATATTGTGCCTAAACTTAAAAAAAGTATGATTCCCATTCATATAACATATGACACAAACCTATAACAATTGGACTAGTGCCCCTTGTATGAGATTAGAATAATTGATTATAGTGTTAAAACTTGTCAAATCATAGTGTTAATGCCAAGGGTTTCAGTCCTGCCTCTGACACATTATTAACACTGAGAAGTCAATTAATTTCTCCGAATTTCCTCAACTCCAAAATGAAAGGAAATTCTTCATTTTAGGTAGGCACTACCTCCCTCAAGGATGTCACAGGTATTGAAGAATATAATAGTCTAGAACATACATATAAGCTCATAACAGTCACAACATTAGAAGGAAAGAGGAATTCCATCTGGTTTACAACTTCAAGGAAGATACAGCCTTATGAGCTGAACTTCGAAGGACCAAAATGGTGGACGTTGGTGTGGAGAGAGGCAAGCGGGGGCTATTCCCACCATAGGGAAATGGCAAACACTAAAACATTGAAACTGGAAGCACCTCAAGTCTTCTAGTGATATCCAGATGACCTTTGGGCTATTTACTGGGGAGGGCAGGTGTGGGTTGAACAAGATGACCTCTGATCCAATGGGGTTCTGACATCTAACCATACACTGTGCAACGCCTGAGCACAGGCTGGTCAGCCATATGTTTGGGAATCCTAGTCAACCCAGGGAGGCTTGTTAGAAGAGGAGGGAGCGAGGGAGGAAGGGAGAGGGGATAAGCCTTTAGATAGACCTACTATGTGCCAGGCACTATGCTAAGTGCTTTACAAAGATTATTTCTTGGCTCTGTCGGATCCTTGACTAACTATTGATATACTAATAACTTAAGGTGCTCTATTTAGGAAAATGGTAGGGAGTAAGGGACATGGGAGGTGAGAGAGACAGAGCAAAACTTGAACTTCCTCTTTCCTCAAAAAACACAAACATGTCTGGCCCATGTCTTGGGAGAAACCATCTTGGAGCCTGAGAAACAAATTCCTGAAACATTGTGTACTTAGGTGGTTATCTAAGTCAGGACATATACCAAAGTGAATGGCCCCACAAGTGAGCTGTGGTAGAATTGTCCCCAAAGCATGAAAAATTGGGGAAGTTAAGACCCTTGCTTTAAAAGTAACCCAGGATGGCAAGTGGTTGAAGCTCTGTGAGCCTTGGTTGCCTCACCTGTAAAATGAGGGTGTAGGACCCAAGATCCTATCCAGTTCTATATCTGAGAACATCTTCTTGGAGAAGGAGAATGGGGGACCTGGGGAAAGGGAGAAGGTACTGATAGCAGATGCTTTAAGAACCCCCAAGAGACAACCAGGCCCAATTGCTGGGGAGGGTAGCAAGACTTACTTGAGTACAAGGGGAGGAAAGCAGGACCTGTGGGACTGCAACAAGAGTTGGTGGGACATGTGAGACATTCCAGAGGCCAGAGATAGACAGGTCCCACATGTAGCAAAATATTCACAGCAGCACTTGTCATAGCAAAGAAATGGAAACAAAGTAGATGTCCATCATTGGGGGAATGGCTAAACAAGTTGTTGCACATGAACCTAATGGTTAACTATGGTGTAAGAAGTTACAAATGTGAAGAATTCAGAGGATCGTGGAAAGACTTATATGAACTGATGCAGAACCAGGAAGTCAATATACACAATGATTACAACAACTTAAGTGGAAAGAAAAGAGGGAGAGAATGAAAGAAAGAAAAAGAAAGGAAAGGAAAGGAAGAAAAAAACAACACTGTATAATTATAAAGGCTAAGAAATTTAACGTTGGAGAAGAGTTGAGAAAATGGACCTCCCTCCTTTCATTTCAAAGTGAGGGGACTATGAATGTCAAAATATTCATATATGTCATTTTTGCTTAATATATTGATTGTAGTGAACTACTTTTTTTTCCCTTTTTTCTTTCTTTTTTTTTTGTTTCAAGGGAATGCTCACTGAGCAGGGGAGGGAGAAGGAATATACTCACAAATGAAAGTGATTTAGAAAGAAGATATAAATAAAAATATCTTGAAAAGGAATTCAAGTAGCACTTGGCTACCAAGCCAAAGCAAACACTATACTTCTCTCTCCCAATCAGCACAGGGGAATCCAACATTTATTAAGCATCTATTGTGTATAATGTACTTTGCTAGGATCTGGGAGACCCACAGATCCTGAACATATTTTTAAAAGTTTAAGGTGCTATTGATATAGTCTGATAGTTTTAGAAGAACAGCTAGGTGGTGCAGTGGACAGAATACTTGGCCTGGAGTCAAGAAGACCTGAGTTCGAAACCAGAGTTAGACAATTATTTGCTGTATGACCCTGGGCAAGTCACTTAACCCCAATTGCCTCACCAAAAAGCAAAAAAAAAAAATTATTGCTAAATTATACATGTATAGTCAAGCAAAAATTTTTAAAAAATTAAAAAAGAGAAAAAAAAAAAAAGAATTGCTAAAAAGGGGGCCGCTAGGTGGCACAATAGATAGAGCTCCAGCCTTGGAGTCAGGAGGACCAGAGTTCAAATGTGGCCTCATACACTTGACATTTATTAGGTATGTGATCCTGGGCAAGTCACTTAACCCCTATTACCCCACTAAAAAAAAAAAGGAAAAAAACTGCTGAATTGGGTTGGAGGAGTCAAAATTCAGACAGGAGGGGAGGAAGATGGGAGCCAACTTGCTGTCCAGGACATTGACCATCCTTGGGTTTGGGGGTGGGGGAACTGACCATTCAAAAATAGTCATAGCAGTTTTATTCACAATAGAGATACAAAGAAAGGTAAATGCAGTGTCTGGCTTCTAGAAGCTTTCCCTGCTTCTGAGAGATGTGGTCCTGATAAATGAATAAATTACTTACTTAGGAGATCAATTTTTGCCTACATTAGATTCAAGTTTACTGTTTGCTTTAGATTTGGCAGTTGGACTTCCGGGACGTAGGTGTTACCTTCCTAATTTTATAGATGAGGAAACTGAGGCAAACAGAGGTTAAACACAGCTAGGAAGTGTCTGGGGTTGGATCTGAACTCAGGTTTCAGCTCCACTGGTCTTGGTCCAAAGGTCACTCCAGTCTCTGCAAAATCTAGATGCTAGGACTCTAGGATGCCTAGAGGCTCCCAGAGACTTGCTCTCTTGACCTTTCAAAACTCACAAGTTCAGAGGTCTCCGATCTCTTTATCTAAAACAGAACAGAACAGACACCAAGGGAAAGGACCAAGGCTCATTTAATGGGACCATCTGTTGGCCTCAGTGGGGAGGGCTCAACTTCCCCTCCATCACTGGGGATGGCCTCTTCCCATCCATCACTCTACCTCACCAGACACCATCAATGAAGGAGTCAAATCAAGGACAGAGCAACCAAATAGAATGAATAACGGAGGTTTTGCTCATGATTGCTTTTGAAGTCAGTCCCAGTTTTAGCTACATAGCCAATCAAAAAGGCTTCTCCTAGCCATATGTTTAGCGGTCCAGAACCAGTCACCAAATGTCTCCGTATTTTCAAGTCTCTCCAAGGTATTTCCATAACTCTCTTGGAGGCAGGTCCAGGCTCTCCTGCATGGGGAGATGTTGTCTGAGAAGCTCTGTGCTTCTTACATAAATAAATACAATTTTGGTAAAGTGATGAGGAGGCACTAGCAGCTGGGGAGTCCAAAGAGGCTTCATGTAGAAGGTAGTGCTCAAGGTGAGCTTAGAAGAAGAATAAGGATTATAAGGGAGTGAGGTAAGGAGGAAACAAATAATATCATATATATATATATATATATATATATATATATACATATTTGAAAAAATAATACATTTGTGTATCAGAAATGCTATTTATTCATTATACAGAAGATATGTTTGCTTATTTATTTTTATTTTTAGGCAACTGGGGTTAAGTAACTTGCCCAGGGGTACACAGCTAGTAAGTGTCAAGTGTTTGGTCTGATGCTGGATTTAAACTCAGGTCCATCTGACTCTAGGGAAGATGCTCTATCCATGTGTTTGCTTATTTAAGAGTTGCATGTGAATTCCATACTCCTTGCACCACTTGCATGGCCCCTGGGCTAGGAATCTGTATACCTGTCCATTGGCCTCTCTTCTGCTCCACGGTGCTCGGCACGGGGTGGGAGGAGGGGTACAGTAGGTGCTTGATATTTTTTTAAATGCCTGAGGAAAAGACATTTGTATCCACATTTAAATAATTACTAACAGAGTGTGAGAAAGGAGCTCAGGTACAGTTGTCTCCAAAATGGGGGCTAACTAGGGCATGATCCCAAGGGAGATGGGGTTTAACTTCAAGAGATGTGTGACTAAGCAGTCAGAGTGGGTAGGTGGATCATATCCTGTCCTGCTAATGCTAGCCATTCAAGGGTTTTGTTCCCAACACAACCACATCTACCTTTCACCCATTATAGCTCAGCACCTCAGCCCTCAAATCTACCCAATCTTACTGTTTCACAAGCTCCCAGTTCTTCTACTTCTGACTCTGAGGTCAGCCCATTGGGGCAGCTACAACCTAACCCCAACCATCAGCTAGAAAATGTTCTCTGCCCTTCCGCCATTACATCCCTACCAACATATACACAAGGGCGGGGGGGGGGGTGTAATTACTGATAAGGCGTCCAATCATCAAAGTTTGGACACCATTGCCCTTGTGACTGGGGAAGAGAGGGTACTTACCCTTAAGTAACCAGGAAAGGTAGACTGCTAGGGCAGAATACCATCTACAATGTCAGATGGGTTCACTGTCTGGTGGTTATGCTTAATTGTTTTTCTTTGTTACAAGATAGGGCTTGGTGTGGAGGTTGGGAAGGGGAGGGATAGGGCAGCTAGGTGGCACTGTGGATAGAGCACCAGACCC